ATAGAATATAAAATTCTTCCTCTTCGGTGCCGGGAGATAGAATATAAAATTCTTCCTCTTTCATTTTGGGTTCGTCTTTACCATGAGAAAAGACACAATTCTCAACTTTAAATCTGTACATTCCATGCACGGGGAACTTTATCTCGACTCCTAAATAGAGATAAGCCTACGTCTAACACACGTTGCCGGTTTAGTCTTTCACCGATTGAAAAAGACACCAGAATTCAAATCCGGGGAATTTTATCCTGAATCCTAAGAAGGGATAAGTCAACGTCTAATACGCGTTGCCGGTTAGTCCTTAACTGTAAAACGGACAAAAGCCCACATATTTAATATTGTGGCAGGTTGTTATTAATAACGACAAAATCCGTGCTTCACACGCACGGGGAATTTTATCCTGAAGCCTAAGCAGGGATAAGCCAACGCCTAATACGTGTTGCCGGTTTAGTCTTTTACCGATTGAAGAAGACACCAGAATCCGAGTCTGGGGACTTTTATCCTGAATCCTAAGTAAGGATAAGTCAGCGCCTAACACGCGTTGCCGGGTAGCCTATTCCCGTAACAATGGTAAAGTCTATGTATTCGAAGTCGTAGCATCAAGTCTAAGGGAGTTCATTCCTTTAGCACAACGTCATATTCAGAACGGATTTCAACAATCCGCTTGCTAGCCCGACTCAAACGGTAGTCGATAAAGGCATATCAAATCCGTTGATGGCTGAGGATTTTGCCAAAAATCCTAAGTCAACGTCTGATACACGTTGTTGTTTAGTCTTTTCACAGGAGAAAGATGAAATCTATGTATTCAACATCGTAGCGCTAAAAGGGTTAACTCTTCTAGCTTAACGTCACATGCGGAACGGACTTAAATAATCCGCATGCTAGCTCGACTCAAACGGTAGTCGGTAAAGGCTCATCAAACTCATTGATGGCTGAGAATTTGCCAAAAATTCTATAAATATGAGTCATTGACGCATCAGCTCCGTCAGTTGGTCTCGTGACTCGAACATCCAATCACTTAGGGATAAGATCCACACGTGCAGAGGAATCAACTTTCATAGTTGGTCCTGCAACTCCGACATTTAGGACCGCCACGCTCCAATACCTTAAGAGCTTAAACTGTGTATACTCCAGCAAATGCACGAGTATAAACTGTGTTAATGGCGATCCGAAACCCTAGGGTCAATACCGGTCAACGCGTAACCCTAGGTCAACGCCAGTCAACGCGTTGCGATCAAAAAGTCAACGTACGACGTCCCAAACCCTAGGGTCAACGCCGGTCAACGCCTAACCCTAGGTCAACACCAGTCAACACGTTGCGATCAAAGAGTCGATGCGACGGATAGGGTCAGTTCTAAGTCAACTCAACGACACGAGCCAAACTCAACTCATCAGTTTTAGTTTCGAGACTTCGACGACGGCCAGACGATAAACGCAGCGCCGGAAGAACTTCAGCTATTCATCAAAACGTCGAATAGACTGAAAATCGAAGGAGTCAAGAATTGAAGCTAATTACAGGTCCTTTACACCGACTGAAGGCTGGACCAATCACATCCAAAGTATTCCAGCCTCTTCTTTAAAAGAAACAAGGTTGGAACGCTTTGGAAGGGGTATCTGTAGGCATCGAAAATTGCCTATAGGTCTCCACGAACAGCTCAAAGCTAAGAGAAGACGATGAACATCACTATCCAAGTCACAGAAGCTTGATTGACGTCGACGAACGCTTGAAGTGAATCGGCGAACTATGTGAAGCAACGGAGTTTCAGAATAACGGGGATACGAATTGATTGGGAGCCCCCCATCGCTTACAAAAGGCGCAACTCCCCTCGTGTCCCAGTTGACTCTACAATGATCCAATCATTGGAGCTTGTAGATCTCCTCGCCGGCTTTCCAACGCACTTTGAATCACTCAAATCCGAGTTCGGACGAAGAAGTTACGGCGGAAATGAACAAGTACACATTACAAAGCGTCTCAGCATGAGTTGAGACACCCCGAGGTGTCTCGGCCCAACGAGACACCCCAAGGTGTCTGAGGTGTCTCGGCCCAACGAGACACCCCAAGGTGTCTCGGCCAAGGCCGAGACACCCAAGGGTGTCTCGTACTTTGTGGAGCTGTTTTGACAATGATTCGTTTTGAATCTGAAGAAACTCAAAACATGAAAGTTGTAGATCTTTTTATCAGCTTTCCAACACATCTGGAATAAGGTAATTTGGAGGTCATATGAGGAAGTTATGACCAAAATAGCCGAGACACCCAAAGGTGTCTCGGCCAAGGCCGAGACACCCAAGGGTGTCTCGGACTTTGTGGAGCTATTTTGACCATGATACGTTTTGAATCTGAAGAAACTCAAAACATGAAAGTTGTAGATATTTGTGTCAGCTTTCCAACCCAGCTAGAATCAGGTCATTTGGAAGTCATATGAGGAAGTTATGACCAAAATAGCCGAGACACCCAAAGGTGTCTCGGACCTTTTGAAGCTGTTTTCACCATGATACGATTCAAATCTGAAGAATCTTAAAAGATAAAAGTTGTAGATCTTTTCGTTATCTTTCCAACACAACTTGAATCACCTGATTCTGAGGTCATATGAAAGAATTAGAGCCAAAATACTGAAGAGGGTACAAACTGTCTCGCACATGTGCGAGACACCCCGAACTGTCTCGCACTTGAGACGTGTTTTTGACGGTTTTCGATCGGTTTTAACTGCCCGGACCTCCTGGAAGCCTATAAATACAGCCCCTGGAGCCTTATTTTTTCAGATCTGGAATTTTAGAGATTAGGCGAAGGCCTGCCGGACTGAAGACTGAAGGTGCACGAATTTCAGAGAGGAGGAGGAGAGATCGGATCGAGTTCGTCGGCATAAAGAAGAGGAGCTCGTCAGATCTGCAGTTTCCCGGGTCCGCTCCTTAAGATTATCCCGTTGTGATAATCTTAAGAAGAGCAATTATCTCGCCGTTGCCGAGATAAGCGCTACGGTTTCTTGATTCCTTCGCGAATCAACGAAGCTCTGCCCAATTTTTTAGCAATCAGATCTGATCGGCGGTGGTCCACGGATATTAACATCCCCGTCACAGGCCAAGATCCCACGCAAGCAGCGAGCGATACACACCCGTTGCGTTTGTTTGATAAAGTTGTAAACTTTTTTTATTATTTTCATTGTGTAAGGAGATCTTATAAAAAGATCAACCTTTTATTTTATTCGAGTTTATTGTAACGACTAAAGTTGTAATAGATTCGATAGCAATAAAAACAACAACTTTCGATGCAAACACCCACTCACAGGGAGAAATCCACTATCATAACCGGGTCTTCTATGCTCACCCAAATAACGTTTACACCTCACAATGTCGGGTTTTAACGTTCACTGATCAACGTCCACAATCACTCACAATGTCGATTTTTAACGCTCACCGATCAATGTTCACTCCTCACACTTAGTTTTCTAGCTCACCGAAACCTTTACAACACTAACAATATAACAACAAATATGTTCTCTACAATAGATGAGAACTTAATGTAGCTCACTCTCAATTGTTACAACTCCCCACAACCTAAATTATACTAAGTATGAAAATACAATAAGCTCAATGATTGTGTGTGTAAGCAATGAGAAAAACAAGTCTAAACTCAATTTAATCTAGCAAAATAAATATGACACATTAATCATAAACAAGCTAGATAAAGAGTTTAAGAAAACTTCTCTAAAATGAGAGTGGAGGGATGTAGCTTGAAGCCCAAACAAGATTGATGATCTCCTCAAACTCTTATGAAATTCTCTTCACAAACAAACTCTAAACCAAACTTAAACCCTTGTTAAAATCTCTTTTAAACTTGTTTAAAACATTCCATTGGTTGCTCTGGTAGAGAGGGGTTTGAGGGTTTATATAGGAAGAAAAACCAATAGCCAAAACCCCAGACAAAAGACCAAAAAACCCACAAAATCAGAAATTAGATTCTGTACAAAAATAACCGTTGGACGATCAGCGGTCGACCGCGAGCAGCACAAAGCCAAAATTTGGGCTCTGGAAAACATTCGGTCGACCGTGGTGGTTTACCACGAGAGCATCCGGTCGACCGTCACGTTCGACCGCGAGCCTCTGAAAAACTTCCTGAGTCTCTCGACTCAGGGACGGTCGACCGTGGTGGTCGACCGCAAATTGATATATGAGAAAAATAGGTTTAGAAGCAGTTTGATAATTTTGAAACGCTGTTTAAAAATATCAAATAAATTCTAAAAAATATAAAACTTTGAAAAATGATTGTAGACATGATAATACACATTCTACAATAACTGGCTTTCAAAAAGGATCTCCCAAATGAAAAATATCATTATTTTGTAAAATAGTCCAAAACATGAAAATGTAAACACATGAGTTTTAACATTTTAGCTTAACCATGTTTTGAAACATTACAAAATAATTTTGAAGACTTAATAAAAGATGTACATAAAGATTACCCAAGCTATAGGTCTTCAATAAGCTCGACTTGGTAAACTTACGGATGAAGCTTGAACTTGGATCTTCAACTTTGAACTGCATAGGCTTTAACCACAATATCCGCCAACCTCCATTTGATATGATCGTTATGGTGCAATCCATCCAACCTCCAACATGTTGTTTGTCTATAATAAATAAGAAAACACAAATACTAGACAAACAACATTAGTGATAAATTGTTTGTTAAACATCATCAAAACAAAGAGGCCAACACATAGTGCATGATCTAACAAAATAATTTTTAAAGATATTATAAAAATTATAGAAATAATAACCAAATTATATATGCAACAATAAAATCTTTACTAATATTTGAGAATATTATATAAAATATATTGAATGTTCATTAGTATAAATAGTAGCAGCCCCAACGGGTGGTAGAACCCGTTGGGACTAGTTTTACCCGCACCAACGGTTTAACCCCTGGGGACGGGGCAATCCAGTTTTTCCCACAAAATTTGAGGGAGCCCGCTTCAGCCCCAAATTTTATTTCCCCCCCAAAAAATTTCGGCCTCTCTCCCTCTCTGCTTCCCTCCCTCCCTCACTCTCTCTTGCCAAAACCATCACCGCCCTCCTCCTCTCGTCGTCGTCGGAGCTCCCTCGCCGCCCCCTCCCTCTCTCGTCACCAAAACCAGCGCTGCCCTCCCTCCCTCCCTCTCTCTCTCTCTTGCTCTGTATTCTCAACTCAAGGACGAGATCTCGTTCAAAGGTGAGCTTGATTTCGATCTTGTTCTGTCTAATTTTGCTTTAGATTTCAGTTGATGTGAAGTTTTTATGCGGGATCTGGATCTCGTTTAGGCGATTCTAGACTGTGATTAGCTTTAGATTAGATCTCGTTTAGTAAGAACTGATCTATTGAATCTCATCATGATAATTTGCCTTTGAAATTGATGAGTTTTTGGTTCTGTTTCGTTTAGATGCATGTCTAGTGTTCAATTGAATGCTTTAAAAAGACATAATTTTTATGGTTTATGATGTGTTTTATGGCACACAAATTACTGAAAGAAATTATCTTTTAAACCTATTTACATCCTATACGTGCCTCTTTCAGTGTAGATAGGTATATCAACAGCCTTGTTTGTAGAAAGGTAGCACACAAGTTCGGTTCTCTCAAGCACGAGTCATTTGGAGGGTTTTATCATTTAGTGGATAAATGTTAAAGGAATCATAAACTTTAATGTGCTGTTGGGAAATCAACACTAATACACGCTTATTTCGCAGGGAATTGTTTTCAATGATTCAAGGAATTTGTTCAATCAACACCATAACATGAGCTATGATTTTTAACCCTCATGTATAGCCTATCATCCCTATTTGCAGATTAATTTCTTTTAACACATGTAAGTCATCTAACTTATATGTAAGCGCATTACCATAAATTTATGACCATTCTCTTCTATCATTTTTGAGATACTCACCTGCAACATTGCATTAGACAGATAGTTTGTGAAAATTCATGACCATTCTCTTCTTTTCTTTCTTAGTTTAGACCAGGTGCTGTTAGGTTCTCTTCATTCTCCTTTGCTTTTGGACACGATAGGGTTAGGATTAGTGTTGGAAAGTAAGGATATTGTTGATGAGGAAGGATTCATGGGATGGCGCATGTGATTTTGGTGGTGTTATGTTATTTCTTGATCCCGGATATGTATTATGAAACTTGTAGTAAAATTCCAAAGAAAACTCTATTGCACAGACACCGTGGACCTCAAAGCAAGCTGGAAAAAGAAAAAGGAAAGGAAGGAGGGAAAATAGCGATTCAACTAATATTTATTGTAATTGTAAGTAGAAAGCAATCAAACATCAATAGACTCTGAACTGCCTAATTGTCGGCATTTTACGATAAAGTTAAAAGATTTTATTCAGGTTGAGTAACTTCGGTGAGTTTTGACGGTGATTCCATTCCACTGGCTATATGTTTTTTGCATTTCCATGACCAAAAAGGATACGTGTAAGTGTTATTCCTGCTTATCATATCTCTAAGAAAAGGTTTAAATAATGGCCCCCCCCCCGACGCCCCCCCCCCACACACACACCCACACAAAAAAAAAAAAAAAGAAAAGGCGCTCTACTTAGTATTATTATATCTACTTTCTTCGTCTTTTAATTTTTACATGTTAACTACATGAGTTGGCTTGGATGGCTTCTCAGATGAAAATTCCATTAGCTTTTACCTCATTGCATAACTATCATAATATAAGGTACTTGTAAATTTTGATGCTTATTGTTGTTACACGTGAACGTTCTTTCGTTCAGGGATAGTTTGCAATGACCCATCAAGCACTTTTGGCCACAGTTACAGCTCAGGCACAGATGCAACTTCAAGCAGCACGTCCTTCCTCATCAGAAGCATTGCCCGGTCCTTCACCAGAACCTGCATCCATCAACCTAGCGCCACTACAACAAAGGCCTTCACCAGTATCTGAAGACAACATCTCTACCCCAGAGCCAATGCAACCTCCTCCATCTGACCATAAATCTGAGGCTCAGTCCACTCAAATTGTTGTGAAGACTAGCTCTAGTGATGGATATAACTGGCGAAAGTATGGTCAGAAGCAGGTTCAAAGTAGTGATAGATCACGAAGCTACTATAAATGTACCAATGTGACCTGTTTTTCTAAGAAGAAGGTCAAGCGTTGCCCAGATGGTCAAGAGACCAAAATAATTTACAGAGGTTAGCACATTCATGACCCACCTCAAAAGACAACTAAGTCCTTCAAAGAGAAAGGGGTTCAGTCTGGTGGGTCTTCTGGGGAGCATAAAACCTCAGATCTTCCATGTAGCGAAGTTAAAGGACCAGATCCTTCAACATCAAAGATGGAAAAAAATTCTAGCAATGAAACCACGGAACAACACTTGTTCTGCTCTAGTGATTGTGAAGGGGATGCTGCAATTAAGATGGACGAGGAGCATGCTGATGAACCAGATGCAAAAAGAAGGCTAGTGTTGTAATAAATATTGTTGTATATAGTTTCATATGTTCATGTGTATTGAGTACTTATTGTCTATGATACAGGCTCATCGAGACACAGAGCTATATGCCTTGCTCAGCACCGGTCCTTAGAACGATTAAGGAACCCAAGATTGTTGTGCAGCGTTCATGTGATGCAACGCGTATAAGTGATGGCTACAGGTGGCACAAGTATGGACAGAAATTTGTCAAAGGAAATCCTAATACCAGGTATGTTTCGTTCCTATTAAGTTGCATGTTTTTTATATTTATTGTTTTATGAATATTAAAATGGACATTTCATGGTGATCTAGTTGTATTCTGCTCTGTAATTGAAATGAGTGATTTGTAGTGATCGAAGAATCAGGTGGCTCCTCAAGTGCCTTGAAGGAGTATTTGGGTACCCACAAGACATTAGTGGATCCAAATGGTGACACATACTCGTGTATATATCCTGACACCCAAACTCAAGAGTATTGCGTAAGTGTTTATTTTTCAACGAATTCAAACGATTTACCCTTACAACCTCAATATGGAACGACTTACCCAACTAGTACGTATGCAAAAAAAAAAAAAAACTTAATATTATCTCATTCCCTTACAACCTCAATATTTATAAAGTATGTCTCTTTCGTATCAATATATACAGATTCATGCGAAGTAGTGTTATTGAGGGGCTTATCTAAGAATAAATGCATATAGTAGATATATCATTACTTTCCAGTGAGTGAATGAATGAAATAGCTGAACATCATTCTCTCAATTACAAATAACATAAACAAAACTCGAATTACAATTATCCCCTTTTTGTACTTATCTGGAATTGAGTTATTGTATATAACTGAGTGAATAGAAGCTTGAATCATCTTTTAATACACAAAATTATGCCAAGTGATACTGTATTGTATTTTTGCATCTATTGCCATGAATGAATACACAGTCTATTTGAACATTTTCTTACTGAGTGCTGACTTCCAACTCTGGAATGAATTATTCATGCTTAGTTAGCCGCATTCATGTCATAAATGGTTCAACACTACAAATGCATGTCATAAATTATTCTTACAACAAAAGGCTTGTTTATTAAGCTTAAGTTTTCATGTTTGGATATACTTAGTGTGAATTTGATTTATTATATGTATTATTTTACAGATTGATTCTCAGACCACTCGTCCACCACCTGTTGTTCCTGCTACTACTCCACCGACTTTAGCTCATTCTCCGAATACTCAAGGTTCTATATCTGCTGCTTAATGTTCTCCTCAGGATATTTCGACACAAAGCCCTCTTGCTAGTCGATTAGGAGGCGTGCTGGGGAGCATACACAGGAGGGCTATAGCGAGGAGGACATCCGCAAAGTTTTTGCTGATTATATTCGATTAAATCAGCCGTGACTTGTACTTTTAATTAACATACTTAAGACATTTGTATATTTCAGATATCCTCTTGTTGTATTTTGATTCTTGTTATATATTTGGGACTTGAGTAATTTATAACTTGTTGTGTTTTGATTCTAGTTAATCTTTTGTTTTATGCATGGGAATGTATATGTTGTGAACAAATATATTATATATTTTTGTGGGAAATGTTATATGTAAATGCTGTAGGTAAAAGTGAAAAAAAGGAAAAACACAAGCACCAATGGTTGGGACTGTTGGTACAAGTTTTGAAACTGTCAATGCACGACAATCTGCACCAACAATTACAACCGTTGGTGCAACAATCTACACCAACGGTTACAACTGTTGGTGCAATATTCTGCACCAACGGTTACAACCGTTAGTGCAGATTGTTACACCAACGGTTGCAACCATTGGTGCAGATATTTGCATCAACGGTTGTAACCCTTAGTGCTATTTTTTCATTATTTATTTTGTTTTTTATATATTTAATTATATTTTTACTTGTACCAATGGGTAGAACCGTTGGTGCAGATTTTACACCCGTTAGGGCCGTTTCAACCCTAACGCTACTTGCAGCAACGTGTGTTTTTTTTTGCCCCAACGAGCCTAACCGTTAGGGATACTATTTGTCCCACCGGTTACAACCGTTGGAGCATGCCTTCTTTGTACTAGTGGTTCAAGGACATATTATTACTAATCAAGTAGTCTCCCACTTGCTGTAACATCCAATTGGATATGATCCTAACTCCCACCTGTCAAAAATATTTTATGACAATTTTTTTATATAAAAGGATCAAATGATACCTATTTAGCTATCTTTTAAACCATCATTTGTTTATTCTTGTTAACATTTAACAAGATAATATTTCTTTTCAAGCTTTTGGCAACAGCTCCACTACTAGCAAATAACAATAGAAAAGAAATACATCATAAGGAACAATATTAAACTTATGGAGAAACTGATTTATCCATATTCTTTCTTTAGTAGTTTCACATGATTACATATTCTGCTATTGTTTTAATGATATAAATGTAATCCAAAATAGACTTCTATTATTAGGATTGGATTGGAATCTAAATCTATATATCCTTCAATCATTAACTAAATAGTAATCTGTAGTCTTATGCAAAAAATATAAATATGACTTTCATTGTAATCCAATATTCCTCATTAGGATTGGATTGAGATCTACTCACAAGATCAGCTACTTCTAAAATGTTCAATCCCCTCTAGAACACATTTCCTTAGAGTGAGAGAGAGATTCCATATCTTACATGCCTAGTCTTTTCTTAAAATTTTACAAGTTGAACATTCTACGGATCTTATCTGTATAAGTAGATTGTGACGATCATATACATCTCTTTCTCTATCTCTATAGAGTTTGAGATCCAAGATATGAAATGTGTAAACAAGATCCTTCACAAAGAACTTGTTGGAAAACCATACTTTTAATTTATGACATTAGAACTATCACTCTCAATGAGCAATATGCCATTAACATGAGATGCTAGGAGTTTAATGGAACTATTTTATTGCTTCTATGCAGACAAGCTTGCTTTTTAAGAATTTGATCAAAATCAATATCCTTAATCATTTCATTAAATCAAATATTTTACTATATGAAGCTTGTTTAAGTTCATAACTCGATTGATTCAATTAATTAATCTTTTCTTCTTGAATTTTACATTCTTGATTCTATAATCTTTGCATGTAAATACCTTCTTTAAGATATTCATTCAAGAAGATTATTTTAAAATCTATTTATTGTATCTTAAATTCATAACATGCCGAAATGGTTAAAAAGGTCCTTATGACCTTTAGTATTACAACTAGGGAAAATATTTTCTCATAATTAATAACCATTTGTCATCAAATATGACATTAACTCACTTACAAGAAATCATGTCCAACATGACCTTTATATAAGTTTTAGAATTTTTATTCTCCTTGGCTTTCTATCAAATATGTTTTAATAAGGTTATTGTACTATACAGATGGATGAAAATCCTATTTTATCTCCTAATTGTGATTAGTAAATTCAACAATAAATATAGTAAACAAGTCTTCATTTACTTTATTACTTGAAGCTCCAACTAAATTCGTAGAATCTCCAATTGAATTCATAGAATCTCCAATTGTATTTAGAGTTTCTCTCGCTGGATCAGATAACTCTCCTACTAAAGCAAATAATTTTTTTTTCTAAAGTTATAGAGATCATTGATCTATAAATTTATCTCATAAAAGGACATATTTCTAATAACAATTATTTTTTGAAAATTACAATAGGGTTATCAATATAATCCCAAGTATTTTCTTTAGCGTGACCTATCAATAGGCTATTATTTATTCTAGATTCCAATTTACTCATATTTTATTCTCTAATAAAACTGTGACAATCCCAAATCTCTAAGCATCGTAAACTTTATTTTCTTCATATTCACATTTAATATGGCGTGGAAGAAAAGATTTGGTAGGAATTCTACAAAATAAATAATTTGTAGTCTTCAATCCACAACCCATAAGAAAGTAAGAATAAGCAAATGCTCAAGCATTAAATCTAACCATATCAAATAAGATTTAGTTCTATCTTTCAAATAAATTGTTAAGTGTGGTGAATTGGGAGGTATAACGCACTAATAATTTCATTTCATTTACAAATCTCTTTAACTCTTTAAAATAGGAACTTGTCACCTCGATCAAATCGAATGACTTTGATACTTTATGAAGTTTTGGTGACGTTTGGTCAACTGCGAGGCTAGGCCGGTCGACCAGAAACGTGCACATGTCAAAGGCAGATTCTGGAGTTGAGTTCGGTCGACTGTAGCAGTCGATCGCAGAGACCCTGTAATTGATTTATTTTCTTTCAATTCCTGGGCGGTTGATCGCGACGAATTCTGCGGTTGACCGCCGTCGAGTTTGAGCCTGAGTTTTTTTTTCTGACCCGTTTTGTTTTGTATTGATATATAATCCTAAACACGTTTTAGATTTCTGGGAGAGCAGTATTGGGATATTTAGAGCACAAAAAAGAGCCTTTTCTGGAGCTATTGGTTAGGGTTTTGTTTGAGAGATTGAGAGCTTTGTGTGAGAGATTAGTTTATGGATTTGTAATATCTATTTGTACTCTTCTTTTCTATTAGTGAAAACCCATCCTCTTCTTGCCTCGTGGACGTAGGCAACTTGCCGAATCACATAAAATTCATTTGTTTGTGTTTGTGTTGTTATTTTAGAATGTTTTGCTTTCTCTCTCGATATTGGTATTTGTTCTCGGTACCCCATCGGTTTGACCATCACTCACAACATGTGGTATCAGAGCACAACAAGTGGTATGAGAGCTTTAGCTATGCTTGGACTAGGTGGAGGAGTAGATCGCTTTGGAAGCTCATCTAGGGCTTTAGTTGGTGATAAAGGTGGCATTTTTACTATTGTGGATCTCGTTTTCATCGTGTGGGGTTGAGATCTTTCGGAGGCTCTTATTAGAGTTTCACTTGGAGGTATAAAAATCTCTCTTTTTTAGTTTGGATCTATTCTTTATTTGTTCTGCATTGGTTTGGTGGTACTTTAAGGAAGATGACCAAGAAAGAATGAGTTGTGAATGGTACTTCTGGTGTGAAGACCATCCAAAGTTTGAATATTCACTCTATGAAGATAGACATGGAGAAGTTTAATAGCACTAATAATTTTAGTCTTTGGAGATGTGAAGTCTTGAATGCACTCAACGCGCAAAATTTGGAAGACACTTTGGATTTGGACGAGAAACTGAACGACATTGAGGAGAATGTTTGGAAGAAGATGAATCGAACGGCGTGTGGTGTGATTAGGTCTTGTTTAACATAAGATTTAAAATATGATGTGATCAATAACACTTCGGCTAAGAAGATTTGGGAGATCCTAGAGAGCAAGTATTTGACGAAGAGTGTGAAAATTTGCTTGCATTTGAAGATGAGGCTTTATCGCTTCCAATTGAAGAAGGGAACCTCTATTGGTGATTACATGAACAACTACACGAAGCTTCTTGCATATTTGACGAATATAGATATTATGATTGAAGATGAGGACAAGGCGTTGTTGCCATTGAGTTCCTTGCCTGACGAGAAATATGAGATATTTGTTCTTACTTTTATTAATGGGAAAGCATCTCTTTCGTATAGTGAGGTCACCGCTGTACTTGTGAATTATCAGCTTCGGAAGAAGGATAAGGAGACTTCGATTGATATAATAGTGGGGCATTGATCACAAGAGGGAAGAGTCCAAACCATAGTAGGAGATCGCAATCTAGAGGAGCACACCTTACAGTTGGTAGGAATCAATGTACCTTTTGTAAAAAAGATGGATATTAGAAAGCTGAATGTCTAAAGTTGACAGATCGAGCCAGGAAGAATAAGGGGAAAGCTATTCAAGCTTTAGAGGTGAATGTTACCAAGGCTAGTAGTGACAATTCAGATTCAGATTCTTCAAGCAATTCATGCCCTACACTACCGTCAGTTTGTGTTGCCAACTCTATAGAGTGGATGTTGGATTTGGTGCTTCTTACTATATTTACCCTAGGAGAGATTGGTTCTCCAATTTTGAGGAGTTGGAAAGAGGGGATGTTATACTCATGGGTAATGATCATAAATGCCCTATTAGTGGTATTGATACTATTCGGATTAGGATGTGTGACAGGGTGATTCGGGAGTTGGATGAAGTGAGGTTCGTTCCGCAGTTGAAGAAGAATATCATTTCATTTAGAGTTTTGGAGGCAGCAGACTATCGGGTGACCTTAGAGGATACATCTTTGAAGGTCACATTTGAGTCCATGATTGTGATGGAGGGCGTCGGAAAGAAGAATTTGTACTATTTGATTAGGAGCATGGTGATTGATGGAGAGATGACGACTTCTTTAGATTTAGCTAGACTGTGGCGTTTGTTGATGTTGGGATATTTGATTGTTGATATCGTGCTTGGATTGTTGAGGAATGTTTTGACCTGTAGATTGAAGTCCTATGAGCATATTGGTATGAGCAAAAAGACCGAGGTGAAGTTTGACACTTTTATTCACCGAGCGAAGGGTCTTCCAGGTGGTGTTCATTTAGGCATTTAGGGGCCTTCTAAGAAGGCATCATTGGGAGATAA